ACACCATGTCTTACTGTCCAGCTGTAGTGGGACTACATCCTTTACGGTCAGCCCTATCTAAAATTACCTTATCGGATTGAAGAGCACAATCACCAGATATCGAGAATTATAGAGACATACTAGTACAATATGATAAGGTCATCAGAAGGCTTGTTTTCTAGGGATATCATCTAAATAAACCATCAGAGTTGCCCCTTTTTTTGTTGCGTTTTGGGTCAGATTTCATCCGTCGTTTTCTTCCAGGTCTACCTGATGACATCTCCAAGTTTCCAGAGCAAGACACTCGGCGAGTCCGTTGTGCCACTTTCCATACACTGGTGTGTCCGGTGCCAAACAGAAACGAAAACAGTTCTATACATTGGATATATATGTTGACTAGCGTTTATTTTGAATAATTAGTTGGATAACATGATGAACAATGAATATGATATGATATATGATATATGATATATGATATGTGATATGTGATATGTGATATATGATATATGATATATGATATATGATATGAGAAATATGATATATGATTTATGATATGAGATATGTGATATATGATATGTGATATGATATGATATGATTATGATATGATATGATATGATATGTGTTGATGTTGAACTTGGTGTCATTCATCACTGTATATACCTGCAGTGACTGCAGCAAATTGGATCTTTCAGGAGTCTAGAGTTGATATAAACAGCAGTTTTATATTGTTTTTCTTCTACACATTGGGCATCCAAGGTGAACTTTGGCCCAACATGACCTATGAATCATGTATTACGGGTTTGTAATAGGCAGCTGGGGCCAAACCTTTGCACCATAAGGCTTGTTCTGCCTTCAAATACGCAGCGATTTTGCTGGTTAGTTGGTGGTTCAAGTCCATAAAAAAGCTATCAAGTCCTCTGACTATCCCAGAAGCAAATCAGTAGAATGCAAGGGATGAGCAAGTGATACTGGATTATGTTTTGTATAAGTTTATGAGTGCTTTACTCATGAGGCAACCGGAAAGTTTTCACCGCTATGGGTCCACAGGAATCTGTGTCTCCATCGAGCCCATCTTTTGGCGTTGGGTAGCCCCATGACTATCTGGTTGGTGGTGACTGGAACATTTAGTATGGGGTAATGATGGTTAATGATGGTTAATAATGCATAATAATCACTGGTTGGTGGTGACTGGAACCATGGAATTGTATGACTTTCCATATATTGGGAATGTCATCATCCCAACTGACGAACTCCATCATTTTTCAGAGGGGTCAGCAGCAACCACCAAGCAGCTAGTCATGAACCCCCCCGGAGCCAAGGAGATGTTGACGGGCTTTAACTTCCAGCGCATGAAAGACATCAACGACTGGGGCATCTTTCGTCGCCTCTGTCACGAACACGCCTTGATGACCAACTTGCAGCTCGTTTTTTGGAGTTTTTTTCGGTGGATCCTGGAAGCCCCAACCAGTGGTAGGCTTGGGAAAAGACATCTTGAATGTGAGTTTAACATGAATTTAACATATATATATATATATATATACATTCATATATATATATATATACATATATATATATATATTTACATTCATATATATATATATATACATTCATATATATATATATAGTAACTACTTTATTTTTTATTTGATACTAACTATATCTATTGAATCCGTATCAAAGAAGGATTTTCCATCATTTGATGTAGCTATCAGAAGGAATTCCCGAAACAACCGGAAATAGTGGTAAGGTTGAGGAATTTTCACAGGGCATGTCGAACCCCCCTGCATTGAACGTGGCATTGGAAAATTGATGACATCCAGCCGAAATGTGCCACCGTCCTTCCAGTCCTTCCCAAATGCGTCCAAATGTGTTGGGCACGTGAAAACATGATGTCCCAACTTTGGTTTTTGGTCCAAGATATCCCATTATGGTACCCTCTGGTAACTTAACATAGCTATTGAAGCCATGGCCCATAGAAATAGTTGATTTACCGAACTTAAAGATGGTTATTTTCCAGTTCGCTTTTTGCATGTTTACCAGGCCGGGTAAGTTCCACATGAGCCCATTTGAAGCAATCCTTGCCGGGATGTGTGTCGAATCATGACTGATTCAAGGGGAAATAAGCTGTGAAACTGGGGAACACGTCCCATGTATATATCATTGTATATCCATTTATAACAGCTTCCACTGGTTGAATGCTTGCAAACATCACTGATTTTGGTCGTCCACAATGTGCCATTTCTCCAGGATGGGATTGGAGCTCCGTGAATATGGTGTGGAACAACAGAATCCTCAGCATTTCGATGCTTGGCGCCGCGAATATGGCTTCGGCGGTGGCTTAGCTGGTGAATTCCACGGGTTTTTCGATTGGTAGATATTGGTAGGTTAAGGATGGTCAAGGTGTCAGCGACAATTTCGCTGGAACATGGCAAGTTTTTTTGAGGTTTCCATAAATGGGGGTACCCTCCAATGGATGGGTTATAATGGAAAATCCCAATCTAAAATGGATGATTTGGGGGTACCCTCCCTTTTAGGACACCTTCATATAGCAATACCCCCAAAAAAAATGGGGGCGGAGGGATTTAACCTCAGCTTGGCGATTTTAGGTTGTTGACACGTTCCCACACTGCAAGCATAGGTCCCCAAATGTATGGAAGTTGGGGTGTTTGCCGTGCAGATTCACTTGTATCCAGACAGAGTTCCCATCTTTATCCCTTGCCCCGTAAATTATATCCGTAAAGACTTGCAAAACATCTATGAAATTAATGATGTCGTATCAAAGATTGGTAGAAATTCTAATGTTTTGGGCAAAATGACGTTCTCGTGATGTGTGTGGGGCTAAATAAAGGTCGTTGCGTGGTCGTTTTGATCCCAAGGATAATGCGACCAATCAGATCTTGGATCTGATCGAAAAGGCCCGCAGGGGCCAGTTTTCCGATAATTCAATCGTTGTTTGCTGAGCATCTTGTGACACACGTAACTAATGGTCGACTGAAGACATTCGTCTTTATGTTTGTGAATGGGCCAATCTGTAGCCACAAATTTCGCTATCACATGAAACTAGGAATTTACTTGAGACAATATGACCACTATAGACCAATAGTGAGGTGAGTAGTGTTTCAATCACCCAAGTGTTTGCTGGAGTCGACTGTGATGAGCAATTGATCTCTCAATTTTTAGAGGAATCGCCTCTCGGCAATCCGTGTTTTTCTTATCCATGGTTTCAACCTGCTCAAAACTCATATATTATCCCAATTTCAGGACGATTGACGATTGATAATATATTTGAATACTAAGGCTGACCAATGTTGTGGTTCCATTGGTACCCCATGTTTGCTCGCAATAGCAATGTACCTCTTTGAAATTGATGAGTATGATTGGCTGGTCAAAAGCCCACTGCCCTGATGAACATCAAAATAGCTGGCAATTACAGCTGGATATTCATATCCCCAGAGATGCTCGAAGTATTGATGATATTGATGAATCACAGAGTCTTTTGGCAAAGTATGGCAAAGTCACCAGATGTCGCAAGTTGCTTTCTGACAGTGATGCCAACAAAATGCCTTGGCTTTTCACTACGCCTTTCATGCTCCACCTGGACCATGTTCCAGTGAGACCACAAAACAGTTCCCTGCACAATTGGGGACTTACATAAAAGACGATACGGTGCAATGGTCAAGACAATACACAACACCTTTACAATCAGTCTCAGTAAGTGGTTTTGCTTGTCAATGACAATGATCAAAATATCTCAACATATATCAACATGACCTAAAATGGACGAGCTGTGGAGCATGAAACCCTCTATATTAGTGTTGTTTTTTCTCGCAAGTACAGATGGATATGACTCAAAACTTGTCACCCCAAGGATCGGTGCATCCCGGGCATCCCCTTGATTGAAGCTCTATGGAATGGTGGGGTAACGGGGGATTATCGTACCTTAAACGAAAGGGGGATTATAAACATATATCAACCTTAAACGAACAACTGCTTCAAGGTAAAAACCTCACGTTGGCCTCAGCAAAGCTCGGAAGCTCCAACTGTTGGTGTTAAAGTCAGTTCTTTGAGCCATACCCCGATCCTTCTGCATGACTGTAAAGAAGATGTCGTCGTCGAGGCCAGCTCATGAGAAGCTCGCTTACATCGATGAGGATGTCGAACTGATGTTATGAGAAACGAACCTTTTGTTTGGTTGAGTAATTAGGTTATCTTCTTTGGCTATTTGGATATAAATACCAGTATGTATATATATATATACACATTATTATATATATATACATGAGAAATAATGCGAATATATAGATGAATATAGACCAAATGTTCTGTCATTACAATTTGGATTACAATGATATTCTTTGTTTTTGCTTTTGCTGATGTTACATGGCAACATACAATGCCAAAGAAAGACTGGCATGTCCGATTTCAGCCTTTCTGAGTTTCTTGTGCCGTCCTGTGGTTGGAATAGAGCAAAAGACATATGGGTATCCATATATACCACATATAAATTTACAATATATAATATATAATAATGTATAATGTTTATATATATATAGGTATAGTATATAATAATATACAATATACAATATATATAAGTATAATATATAATAATATACAATATACAATATATATATATATAAGTATAATATATAATACTATACAATATACAATATATATATATATATAAATATAATTTTTAATATTCTACAATATACAATATTTATATATATATTGTATATATATATATTAAAAGATATGTAATATATCCTATCAATAAGTCTTCAAAGAGTTTCCGAACCACATGAAGGTTTGTCGCTTTTGGTTTCTCAAGAAAAAACTAGCAACCAAGACTAGTTGGCACCGCATTCTCTCGAGTCAAATAGCAGCTCGCTGAGACTAGCTAGAGCTGCTGGCAAAGTCCCTGAGAGTGCTAGGTGCTAGCTGTGCAATGATCGGTTCCCCAGCATGGGCCAACGAACTGGCGCTGGAGGCCGCATGGAGGTAGCACATTTAGGCCCGGAACCATGAAGCTGCGCAGTATGGTGGGCCAGCTGCCGAAAAAGTGCCGCTAATAAAGAGGTCCAAGGAAGTGGAACTACAAAGTTTCACTTCAGAAGTGGTTTATGTGAAGGAGAAAGTATATAATATGTCTATATAATTCTATATATATATATATATCACTCAAAAGTTGTCAAACCAAATCAGGTGTGGGAACTCTTTGATCACACATTCGATTTATTTTGTCCTGGATCTCTTCTCAACAGCTAGACCTTGAAAACTTCAAGGGGCTGTGAATTCACAAGGTCTTCCGTACAGATCTTCTCCGCGATTGGCAGCGGGCACCAACTCTCCCTGTACAGCATGAGTCAAAAGAAGTGAACGGATCTTTCCGCCCTTTTTTCGCCACCACATTTGGGTATACGGTAATACGGTATACTGCTTGAACTTTTCGGAATTCAGTCTTGAACTTGGAAATTTAATTTCGTCTCAAATGATTAAGTTTTGAAGGGTATACTGGTATACTCCTTGGAAGTTATACTACAGGGAACCAGCAACAGATCATCTAAGCGGCAACTTCTGGATTCCACGCCACCTTTTGGAAGGTGAGCTTAGGACACTTGAGAGATCTGATTCTTACATGAGGTACCCATGGACCATGGATCCATATATTTTTTGGGGGTGATAGTAAACCATCCATCTGGTCTTCAAGCTAGGGGCTTCTGATTCAAATTGTGGTCCCCTGCATGGTCTTTGAAGTTTGAAGAGTATCCTTGTAGCCTACCCAAATTCTAAACATGACCTTTTGACAACTTCAGTTGGATGCTCCAAGAAGTCAGCGGATTTCAGAGAAAGGCATAGAAAAGCTACAATTTTCCTCCCCCAAACCATTCGAAAAGGAAGGACACCATGGTTTTTCCCAACTTAAATATATACAAATACAACCAAACACATAGAAATACCATGGAAATACAATGGTTTGAATGATGCTTTTCCAAACAACTATTACATCCAATGATACCAGGGTCGCCTTGATTCATCGCAGGGGTTAGAGGCGCTGCTTCTGTCGCCAGTGTTGTCCTTGGATGCTGAGAGTGAAACTTGGCTGTGGGTTGGTATCAAAACTCACAGTTTTTCTGTGATTTTGTGGTGACCTAACTAAGAAATAGATAGAAACAGTGGATATGACTGGGGGATACTGGGGGAATGTACTTTTGGATGTGTCTGAAAAAACCTGGGAAACTTTGTGACCTAGAGAAACAAGCAATAAGGGCTTCTTGAGACAAGCTGCAACAACTTCTGGTCTCAAACACTTCAGGATTCGCAGTCCAGGGATGGCTCCTGCTCGGGAAAGTTATGGGTGCCCCTCCCATCAACCGCCCGAGGAAACAGATCTGCTGCTGAAGCAGAAGTTACAGAGATGGTTCTCAGGCCGTGCTGGTTTTGGAGCATTTCCCAGGGGTCAATGGGGGAACTGGGCAATACCATGTCCTTTGTTTCCCCCCAAGAAAACCATGATTGATACGGATCATTATTCACTTCACAACTTTTATTTGAAGCATTCATTATTGCAGCTTCTTGGGGGTGGCAACATTGAAAAGGTACCAGGGTGAAGTTGCCCTGGTACTCCTCACCCATGTGATCCCGTGTGTTGTTTCTTGTTGTGGTTCTTCCAGAACATTGCTCATACCCGTTCTTCTTGACTGAAATCTTGGAAATTCCAGTGGTATCTCCAATGGTTGTTTCAATTTATGTTTCAAGAACAGAATGCGTCCGTGTTTTTGGATGGTGTTTATAGTGGACTCATACTCAATGAATGGTTCATACCAATGAATTGTTCATAGCAATGGGAAGCCTAGCAAAACAACGGCTAAGTATGGCCAAACCGCTAAACCAATGAGGTTTTGCAGTATACATCAATAGTATTCATACAGATTGATCCTCTATTTTTGCCACTATTCATGAGGGATTCTAACATGTGAAACTCATCATGGTGCTAGAATCATTCCTTATATCAATGTTAATGATGGTGAATAACTCTTCCATATGCCCGTTCCCGAAGTATATAAGCCATTTCACAGCCGGCGGGTTCAAAGGACTGAACATATACAAGTCTAACCCGATCAAAACCATCAAAAATACCTTCCAGCATCGTTTCTGTTGGGCTTCGTTTCTGAAATGGACTAATTAATATGATTTAACATGATTTAACATGAATTAACATGACTTAACATGACTTAAGATGCATTATCATGAATTAACATGCATTAACATGAATTAACATGCATTAACATGCATTAACATGAAATGACGATAATTTCCTAATCAAAAGCCACCAAAACCCAACTTTCCACATTTCTGTTGGTCCCTTGGCACGGCACGCCCCCAAGGTGACCAGTCGCAGCTGCCCTACGCCGCGCGCCTGCGCGGCTTGGCAGGAAAGGCGCGAAAGTCGGAGGTGCGGTGGGTTAGTTGGGAGGTTCCTAAGCTGGTTGTTTGGTGGTTAATGATGGTTAATGATGGTTAATAATGGTTAATAATGGTTAATAATGGTTAATAATCACTGGTTGGTGGTTTAGAACACTTTGTATTTTTCCATTATTGGGAATTTCATCGTCCCAACTGACGAACTCCATCATTTTTCAGAGGGGTAGGTCGGGTAGGTTGAAACCACCAAGCAGTAAGTCATGGGAGTACCCCCAGTCATCTCAGGTTTTCCATATTCCATCTGGATTTTCCAGATTTTCCATCATTTAAGGAGGATTGAGATGGTAGTATCATGTAATATCCCCATGATTAATGTCATTCCTCCATGGAGGTTTCCTTAAAATGTAGGTACCCCAAATAAATCATCCCGTCGATGGATTTTCCATAAACCATCCATCTATTGGGTATCCCATTTTAAGAAACATCCGTTGAAAAACATGGGACAAGCCCAGGAAATGGGGACTTTCGTTCACCAGGCTTTGGTTCACCACGGCCACGAGCCGCTTTTGATGATCCCACAAGTAATCGGGACATTCACCAACCATTCACCATTGGTTTGCACCAAAAATGCACTTAAAATGGCACCAAAATGCCTCTTTTTTTGTTGGGCTAATTCCAACAAAAATTATGATTTATCCAGATTGATCTATAGTCAGAATTTATCTTGTGATTTATGGTTATTATAATCCCTAGGGTAGACTATCATATGGAAAACCCATGGGGAAACCTGTTCGCAAAATGATCTACAAATAGTGGATTTTCCATTTCATACGGGTAGCAATACAAAGTGGAACAAAACAACGGTAATTACCATAGAAAATAGGTGTAAGATAGGAGTGCGACAAAAATACACACGGAAAGAACAAATAGAACCTTTTCCAGATTGACATAGTATCAACCTATGATTGGAAACGGGGTCATATGAAAATTGTGGAACAATATATACATATATATACATGTGTATATATTATATATATTGGTAATTTCCGTATGATAAGTCTGACAAGTCCTCTGAACATTGTGATCAACTCTATTTAAAGAAAATGCAGCCCCTAAGCCCCCAACAAATTGTTCGGGTACTGTCTGTTCATTGAATTGGAATCCCCAAGCCAGAAATGTTTGATGACCAGAAACGTTCGTAATTCAGATAGTAATTCTCATAGTTTGAGAAGTTGGCTAAAATAACAAGGCGATTTGTGATTTATTATGAATATATCTACAGTTTGGGTGGCCCTACTGTCCAAGCAGCGCTGCCGAGTGTGAAACTGCAAGGTTCTTAAGCCGCAACGGAAACCACGCAGATTTCTTCAGGGTCCAAGCTCTACGTCTCTGAAATTCTCCGAGATTGAGGGACGTTCGGCCAAACGCAAGACCCTTCTGGTCGGCTTATCCGTCCTGGATGGGTGGCCCGCCCTGGGTGCTTCGGTGGTGCCTAGTGTCAGCTGCCCCCTCTGGGTCCCAGTAGCGGATGGCATATAGAGAACCACGGTGGTTGTTGACAGCATGTTCTGATCTGGGATGAACCAGCTTTTCAATCTATGGTAGTTGATGGTGCAAGCGAGAACCGAAATCAGGTTTGAACCAACACCCATAATATTCGTTGTGTGTTGGAAATCCATGATAATTTCTAAAGCGGGGAAACTGTTTGGCGATTTCTTCAACAAGCACACACAAATACAGCAAGTAAGTAAAGCTGGGTTTAGACATCAACTGGCTTAGATATGGAAACTGAGAAATGTCCCTTGCCTTGCCAGCTAGTAAGCTAGCAGCTGGCGAATATTCCGTAACTGAGGATTTTCCTTGGCTATCATACAGGTCTTTCCCATTTGTTTTTGACTTGGAATTGTTGAAGGTAATGCGTTATTTTCCCAATGGGACATCTGCAAACACTTGTCATGTGTGGAAGTTGGCTCAAGTCCAAGAAGACTGGCGAATATGTTTTGTACAAGGTGAGGGACCCCAAGTATAAGTTGGTGCTTGAACCCATGAACTATAAAAAATACCCCTCTTAAACCCGACACTGAACCAAGTTATGTGCGTCAACTCAGCTACAATGTGCCCCCAAGCTATAAGTTAGTTGATAAGCCCCATTCATATCCATGAACTATAAAAGTATCATAAGATATCATAAGACATAGTCATTGGAGTTATCTTCGCCAACTCAATTATCATAAATCAGCTATAGATCCCATGAAATCATCATCTTCCTCAGGGCTCCTAGCAGGTCTGTCGAGCTCGCCTCTGCCACTTTGAGCGCTTTTGGCATCGCCCGGGCATGGAGGAACGGGACCGGGAACGGGTTGAAAGAAAACGTGAGGAGATGTAGAACTAGCAGCACATTTTAATACATTTTAGATGTAATGTACCTATAATACAGATAAGCACATATAGTATATGTATATGCATATGATTAAATACATCATACACATTTTAGATAGAATGTACATGGTGATCGAATGGTGATCGATCTAAAGGTCCTTGTAAAAAAAAATGCGAAGACCGTTAATGTTAACTCTCGGGAAAGTCTTTTTTGCGAGTTCGCGAAAGAATTTTTTGTTTGCCAAAGTTTTGCGAAAGTTGGATATTATGGATCATTCCCATAGGATCCATGTATGGTATATATGCTAACATTGGGGGTATATTGATGGTAAATGTTACCATATATAGCATACATGGATCCTATGGGATTATCATTGTATATATTACAGCTTGTTAGGGCTACCACCTCTTGCCGCCCTGGGGGTCCGGCAGTTGAATGGCACCGCCAAATGCCATGGTCTTGAAGCACATCCTTGCACCTGCCGCTGGTACTGCCGAACGTTGCTTTCTGAAGTTTCAAGAAGCAAGCTCCAAATGCAGCAGCCAAGCTTCCAAAAGTGAGGCTCTGCGAGAGCCAAACACCAAGGCCCCTGGTGTTTGCTTTTCCTCTGATGCACCCCCTGCTGATGGCTGGCGTCTGCGGATAGGGGTATTTTCGCGAAAGTTCCGCGAAAGTTCTGCGAAGTATCCGTGATAACTTGGTGTGATTTGGCAGGTAATTAACGAATGAATCTTCATAAGAAGAGTTGTTGCTCAACATGGGCTCCGCGAAAGATAAACATGGAGTTCGCGAAAGATTCGCGAAAGATTCGCCAAAGAAAACAAATTATTCGCGAAGAATGGCTGTTTGCAGATAAAGGAATTTAGATCACTCGCCACATATTTTACAGATTTATATAGTACGTGTGTATAGTTCCATACACAACAGATTGCACATGATTTGCCCAGCGGTTCTTGCACTGTGGAAGTTTGAAGTAATTTCCAATCTTGGACCCTCTCGGGATCCGTATATGCATGCACGTGTTTTATTTGCTATATATATATATACATTAGATATTGCTTTCATCAAAAATCATGTTGGATGCCATCAAGTTGTCATACTATCATTGCCATTTCTTTGTGATCATTGTACTTCTCTAATCGCATATTCTCCACATAATGAGAAGTACAACTAATTATGACACCAATGTCCCATAATAACTAGAATAGAAATAATATGTACAATATGAGTGAATAATATCTTCATAGTTTTGCTCTGGCTAGTTAATTATATTATACTTGGTTATTCAGGATAATAGTCTGTTATTCCATTCAGTGATAGCTCAATTATATATCGGAACGCTTCCACATTATCACAATGATTGTTAAGTATACTCACAAAGTAACAATATTACACTCCAACCAATTGCATTATAATTCCTAAGTTGTATGCTACCCATGGGTGTGAACCAATAAATTTTATAGTTTGTATTACTTTCATTCCTAGGATTCCAAAGTTGTGTAATCACATGTAATCACTCATTCCTAGGATTTTAAAGCCACTTATTTTGCTTCCTAGGCTATATGGGTGAATTAATTCCATATGTTAATACAATTCCTAGGCTGTATTTATTATTATTTCTGGGAATCCTAAGTTGTATAGTAATTCAAATTCCTAAGTTACCCATACAATATTACGCTTATAATTTAATTATTGGGTATAATTAAAAAAATATAATATACATATTACCACCCCATTCTATAGTAATTCACATTCCTAAGTTACCCTCGGGTAATTTAACATAGCTATGGAAAATCGCCATTTTTAATGGGTAAATCCACTATCAATGGCAATTTTCAATAGCAAACTGTTAGTTTACCAGAGGGTATTATAATTCCCACACCAGTGATTCTACCCATGGCTTGCAGCTCATTCTATCGAGGCCTTGGAACCCGACGAGGTGCAACGGCCCGCCGTGAACGCCGCAGCCAACGCATGGCTGCCTGGCGCCAGAAGGGAACAGAAGGGGTTCCCATGAGGTTTTCAGCAACAAAAATGGGGAAACATGAGGATCTAACATGATCTAACTACCAGAAAATGGGGATTTGAATGGGGTATACCTTTATGACTTTCTGGCTTAAGTTTCTTAAGGGAAACATGAGGATCTAAACCATTGGATTTGGGGCGTAAAACATGGCCATTTTTTCAGAAGGGGAATTCGGGGTTTTCAAGCGGTGGATTTGGGATGTAGCCATGATAATGACAATTGAATCTAGCTTAACTGGCCCAAAACCACAACTGAATCGACCGTTGGTGATTCTTTACGCTATCAAGTTTGCTCGTCATCCAGAGATGGATATTCCATTCAATGTCATTTTTTTTCGGAAAACTAGTACTGGTACAAGGTGGTGCCCCCTGGTTCGCTTAGTTGGTTTGTGACTGGATTAACTAGGTTTTGTGGTAGATACAGTAGGTCCAAATGTAAACATCATTCTACACATGTCTAAATCATTCAACGCAAGAGTAAACTTATAGTAAACATCCACAAAGTATAAATTCGGTATATCATTTGTATTTATGTATCCATTCATACACCAGTTATCCATTCATCAACTATATATATATATATATACATATTTATATCAATGATTGATCAATTCCTCAACTATAAGTCAACTATACTTGTTATATCCATTATCCATTCGCAACCTTCCCAGGGCACCGCGACTTCTTTCCGATGCGCGGAGTGTCGCTCCTCTGGCGCCGGGTGCGGCGGTGCGGGTGAAACTTCGAGGCGTTGGTGACTGGGTTGGTGACAGCTGGGTTTGACTCACATATTACCCTCTGGTAAATTAAGATAGACCCTGAAAATCACTAGTTTTTAGTGGAAACTAATCTTTCAACCCCTGTCTGGCAGGGTCTATGTCAATTTACTGGAGGGTAATCCCTTTCCCCTAATATGAAATAAATGAAATAAACCCCCAGAAACCATGGTTTAGCCACAGCAGGGAAAACTTGGCAATTTTGCATCTTTATCACGTTTTATTTATACCGATATGTTCTTTGTATCTCGGGTGTTGGTAGCAATGCTGATGGGTTTGCAACCTTGATCTTTTGGCGGAGACCCCGAGATAGCTCAGTGGTGGATATCTACAGTTGGATAGGTGACCAACTTATGAATGGGGAAACTCTAGAAAGTCTATATACCTTAGAATGAACCCATCATCCGGCTGAGGTCAGCGATTCATTGAGAGCAAGTTGTATATCTCCCTGAAGTTTGTGGTGGCCATGAAATCTAAGCTACATAGTTTCACTTTCTGATATAATCCGTCAGTGTTCAGCCATTTTTGTTCCTACTTGTTGGGATTCCAAGTCGCCCAGAAACTCACCCTCACAAGTTGGATCATCCCAACAACCAGGTTCAGATGACCTTGGCATTTGCGAGTTCTACGAGCCGCAGAGCGGCTTGTGGCACGTGCGCTTTTGCGACGGCTTGCAGCGTTTGGCGCCGCAGCAGTTGATTCGCTTAGGCCTGGGAAATCTGCTGATTGTGATGCTGGACATAGCAGCACTGGCACCATGCATTCAAAACCAATCTGCCATTTGGTTGATTACATCACAATCACAATCGTTATTGATGACTAGGATCCAACCATATCTAACCTAACATGAATCATGCCATCGCCCTGGCTATCTCTAGGTTTTTGCGGGACCGCCGTACGCACAGAGGGGCTGGTCACATGCCATTGGAACTCCAGGAATTAGAGCGCCACAACTATGTGGATACATCTGTTGTACAGCCAGATTTCCACAAGTGAATTGCATGTAACATGAGCCAAGCGCGAGCCGTGCAGCAATCGCAAAGTGACAACAAGATATGCATATATATATATATATATGATTATCATGTTATATCAGAAATTTGCTGACCGAATCGTCCCAACTTCAATTTTCCCATGATTTCAATCTATAATATACATAATGATGTATATATATTTATAATATATATATATATATAATATATACATATGTAAGTCCTTTGGCCAAGCAAGCCGTTGAAAAGATTCACCCAGCAGGTGGCAACGAAGAGGGTGATGCCATCGATGGCGAAGAGCTCTCGCAACAGGAACTGCAGCAACTGACCGAGGACTGCGACGACGTTGAAAGGTTGGATGGCCAATATATGCACATGGATTGTGAATGGATTATGTATAGATGGTAAATAATCTAATGGTCCACATTCTAATCCATATGTATTTATATATATATACATGTGTTTTCTTATTGATTTATTGACTTGTTCTTCGCTGGACGTGAATGGATGTGAATGGTAAATAGATGGTTAAGGAATGGTGGATTGATTGGCAATGGTTTGATGGCGATGGCAAGGGTTAAGGCGGTTGACATCCACTTACCAAAGGTATCAACTAGTGGACTAGTGGATACCCCCTCCAACAATTGAGGGGAGTCAAAAGGAATGTCTCAGCGCCTTCCCACTAGTCACTGTACATCGTGATTTTTGTATTTGTTCCACAAGTTATAGAACAACCAAATATTGATGTTTTGTTTATCGCTTAGAATATAGATGAATATACTCAGACAATGCGAATGTAATATAATGTGGGTAAAACACCAATACAACATCCCCCAAATCACCATAAATAGGTGGTATAAACAATTCCCAAATGAGTCGTTTATTTTTGTTTTTACGCACATTACTTCTTATGTAAATACTTAGGGGATATAGGTCCTCTTGGACGCCTTTCACGGGTTGATAGCTGATAGCTACACCTCTGTTGGCTGGATGGTGATCGCTGGGTGTAGTCATGGTCAGTTTTTGAAGAATTGGAACATTGCCCACGAAAATGGGGGATACAACAAAAAACGTTGGTGATACTTCAATCAATAGAAGTAAGCACTGGGAGCTCTTGCAAATAGTGGTATACAATGTGCTTCTCTTGCAGACCTCAGGTCAATCCACCTGGAAGCTATGCAATTTGACAGGATTTACTCAATTGGAAACAAACTATAAAATAGCCTCCAAGTGACCCGGGTCAACAGCTGTGGGGTCTTCGACAGGAGCCGCCAATGAAGCGAGCAAGAACTCGGTGTCAGCTGGTCTTCGATTTCAAAAGACAGCCGAGGGATCTGCAGGAAGCAGTGATGATGCGTGGCGATTTGGGTCTTGTTCACGTATGGAGCATTGGAGCATGGATCGAATTCAAAGATTCCCCAACTCAAAAATTGTACAGATTTGGATGCTACGGTGTCAGTAACCTTGGTATATACAATTTTGGAGTGTCCAGAGATACCCATTTCATCTCAGTGTACAAACTTGCAGCCAACGTCACATCTGACAGATGCGCCCGAGATGTGTCGGACAGCAGTTGAGGAGTGGTTGGCACCATATATTAACCATATATTCACCATATTAGCCATATTAACTGTATTATAATAGCCAATGTTAACCATATGTTGCCAGCAATTCGCCAGAAAGTGTTCCCCTTATCAAACATGACCAGTGAATTGGCTGATTTGGGGTCCCAAAAATGACGAACACCCCATGTTGATGAAAGAAGGCTGAAGATTTTCCAATGAATTTATCCAGTGAATCCCAGTGATTCATGGTAAATACATATAGATGCTGTATAAACAATCATAAGGCCATTTCATATTTTTCTGGAATCAATAAGGCATGGCAATGGAACATCTCCCACTTATATATAGAGTCCCCTTTGCTGTGTTTCATCTAAATCACCATCAAAACACGGCGCCACGGCGCCGGATTTCCCAGCCACTCGCAGAGCCCAGGTGCTCTGCGCGGCCGTGTTCTTCGCGTGCATCCTGCATTTGTTGAGGTCGCTGGATGGTTTGGTCCAAGGGATGATGTGGTGGTACCTCTATTTTAGGAAACCTCCATATATATATATTGATATATATATATATATGAGTATTATTATATATATTGATATAATGTTGGTAAAGCAATCATTTACCACCCATATTTGATGGTATATACCGTCCATTTATGGTGATTTGGGGGATGGTTTATTATTGTTTTACATTTTACCAACATTACTGGCATTCCTGAAGCGTTATTGGAGAATACTGTACGCATCTGTACGCAGTATCATATGTTTATGCATATACTGATATACTGCAATGGCATTTAATACAGTTACTACTAGTACTACATATCGATATCATAGCATACAGTATCATACGTTTATGGAGGATATTTTCACAGTATGTTTTTTTAATGTGATAAAGCCAACAAAAAATTCCTCAGCACCAGAGGATGACCGTCAGTGGAAGCGGTCATTTTTTTTGGGATGGTCCGATCGTTGGGTTTATCTCATCAATGGGTTTATTTTTGATCGGTTTATTATCCCAGTGCTGTAGGATTATCCCAGTACTGATAGTACTGGAGGATCGGTTTTTTCATGTTTATGTTTGATCGATTTTGATTACCTATTGGACCAATAATTATCCCAGTGGAGGATCATCGTGTGTTTTTTGACTTTGGGAAAACCCAACTCGACTGGACAAAACAAGTCAGAAAGCCAGTCGAAGAATCAAAGCCATCGCACGAACAGGATGGTGGTAACCCCACTGATGTGATCGGATAGACCGGATCTGATTTCCCATGGGGTATTTCATGATAAGTCTTGAAAAACCCTAATCCTGATCGATGGGGTTAATCATGGTTAATCCATTGATGGGTTATTTTTTGTACCATGGTTTCCTGGTGAAGTCCCAGATTGCTCGAGTTATTTCATGAAGCGCATCTAATCCTGGTTGGGTTCCTAGAAATGATTGGCCACAGCCTTCAAATATTCTTCCCTTCGGGTACGGGTACATTCGCAGTATCAGTTGGTACCCTCTGGTTATTTAACATAGCCATGGAAAATGGCCTATTTATAGATGGTTTACCTATTACAAATGGTGATTTTCCATGGCTATGTTAAATAACCAGATGGTAGATGTAGAATGATGTAGATTCATGTGGTGCTGCCTTGATTCGGAAACTCCGGTGAGAGGTGACAACTGACGGTTTGATCCTTCGGATGTTGCTGATTCGGCTGATTTCAAGTCAGTGTTTTGTGCCCAGCCAATTCCATACAATGTGCATAACTGGAGGTCTTTGGTGAAATTGATGATCCATTACCATCTGGTTATTTAACATAGCCATGGAAAATCACCATTTTTTAATAGCTAAACTAAACCATCTATTTCTATGGGCCATCGAGAAACCATGGCTATGTTAGTCATAACCAGAGGGTATCTCCGTTGCCATGTGCACAGTGAATCATGGATCAATTGTTCAGGCCCTGGAAACCTCAGACATTGTGGGTGTTTTCAATTTGAGTAGTGGCTAGCCAGTTGCTAGTTCCCTGGTTTTGCTGGTCAGCTTAAAGCTACCTAATCTTGACCCGTACATGGTCGGAGGGGTTGATTCTTCCACTCTACCTGGGATGCTAGCTGGTATTTTTTGATATGGGTGGCTCAACCACCAACCACATACCTCCCAATGGTTTGAGTTCCACTGCTCAGCATTTTTCAGATTTAGCGATGTGTTGCCCGTTGCATCCTCTCTGATTTTCGGTTCCTCACACTGCTCCAAAACGCAGGAAGCATTGTGTTGTCGCACGCAGTGCGCAACGAAATGTGGTGATTCGCACAGATGAGGACATGGAGGGAAGGGTGACGTGTGTGATGTAATGAACTTTGAGTCAGAGAACTGGTCAGGTCAGAGTTGGTAAAGGATTCTGCATGGCTATGACGAAATTATATCCTAGATTTACCAAGCATATCCGAGCCTGGTGTACCAAAGCATGCAAAATCAGAGGATGTATGAAGAAGAAACTCTGGAAAATGTGCTGGATACAGGTAGCATAACATACACAGATCATGGATCATAGTGGTGTGTTATATCATATTCCCGGGTGTTGATGGTGGATACATGTTGCCGTGTATATATATATACACTTCCAATAAACAAAGGATCAGTAGTGGAGATATGAACCAACATGATCCAAAATTGTGGATAGGAATTCTTCCAAATGTCACCAACAAGACAGTGCCGAGCGGAGGGAGACCATTTTGATCCATTTTGGAGGTTCAATCATACTAATTTAAAACGGTTTGGTGTTTTTGATAATAGCGGTATAAGACACTACCAATATCTACCAGTATATTGTGATTTTGCAAGCGTTGTTTTCAAAAAATGCACTGAGAACAATCTACAAATCATTATTGGTTTCTTATCCAACCCTTTTTGGTGCATACAATAGTGGTTTAGATATGCAAGACTTTAAGCATATGTTTTTGTCGCTCGTGAATTGGATCGTTTTGATAGATCCTGACCATATTTTGTACTATTTGCCATATAGCTATTTTAGATTCTGAATATTTTCATAGACATGCTCAGTTTGTACATCCAGAATCTGTAGTGGGGAAAACATGATTCTGTTGATGGAATTCCCATTGTTGCAGTTCTCTACATTCCCCGGTTGTTGCCTGGTGGTATACTTTGGATTTGGTGGTACAGTTCAGAGTCCGATGGTCTGACGGTGCGAGGAAACCCTTACATATCAGAACAGCAACCCCCAAAGTTAGAAACGTAGAATCCGACTAAAAACATGGGACAGCATGGGTCTTTTCTTGGGAGGGGGGTACTACATACATGGAGGTTTCTTGGAATAGGGGTACTCCAAAAAATCATCAATTTGAATCGGATTTTCCATTATAAACCAACCATTTTGGGGTACCCCCATTTATTTATGGAACCCCCCATGCTCTTGACAGCCAATTGGCTCAGTGATTTTTCAAGAAGGATCTTCGATTTTTTCATCAGCAGCTGACAGTATTGCTTACAAGTAACAGGAGATTGACATGCACTAAATCTGGTTTTTGAAAACCAGTGCTACTGGAGCTCATGGATGATCCACGCACACGAAACTCATTCGTTTTATGATCAGAATCAGAATTTGTTGGTTCAACTGGTCATTAATGTCGATTGGTTGTTTGTAGCTTCAACTGAAATTGTAAACAGTTAGTCAAACTCTTTCAGTTGTCAACATTGTCCTCTGCCTTGTTATGTTGTTTTAGTGACTTTAGTGGTTGTTCCAGTACGTTTTCAAGCTCAACAACGGTTTTGTGCCTGAACCCCTCTAATTCCACTGTCCATCACCCCACGATGTCCAGTGGTGCGGGTGGCTATGTGGCGGCTGGCGCCAATGGCTGTGAAGCAATGATTGAGATTCAGGTGCAATGCCTCAACGGTGAAGGATGCAAATTCTGCCTGAGTGGGTCCGCTCTGGGTCATGAGCTGCGGCACATGGTTTTGCAGCGACTTGCTTCAAAGAAGGGCAGAAGATTCACACTGCATCACCAGGATGCACCGCTGCTGCTCACCCAAACATTACAGGAGCAGGGCATAGTAGGAAAGATGGCAACAGTCTCTTGCACCTTTGTCCCCACCGATTTGCATGCTGCCTGGTGCTATGCCCAAGGATTCCCAGTCTCTCTGGGAGAGTGCGCACTAGACGGAGTGACCAACATAGAAGGTACTAACTCTTGTATCTCTTTGCAGTATCTTCCCGGGAGTCTTGAGACCCTGGCTCTTGGTGATGAACTCAACCAGACCCTAGAGCGAGTGAGATTGCCGAGCGGTCTTCAGACTTTGACATTTGGCTATAGTTTCAACCAGACCCTAGAGGGAGTGAGCTTGCCGAGCGGTCTTCAGACTTTGACACTTGGCTATTGTTTCAACCAGCCCCTAGAACGAGTGAGCTTTCCAAGCTGTCTTCAGACTTTGACATTTGGCTATAGTTTCAACCAGACCCTAGAGCGAGTGAGATTGCCGAGCGGTCTTCAGACTTTGACATTTGGCTTTAGTTTCAACCAGCCCCTAAAACGAGTGAGCTTTCCAAGCTGTCTTCAGACTTTGACAATTGGCTATAGTTTCAACCAGACCCTTGAGAGAGTGAGCTTGCCGAGCGGTCTTCAGACTTTGACATTTGGCGATAGATTCAACCAGACCCTAGAGGGGGTGAGGTTGCCGAGCGGTCTTCAGACTTTGACATTTGGCGAAAGATTCAACCAGACCCTAGAGGGAATGAGCTTTCCAATCGGTCTTCAGACTTTGACATTTGGCCTTGGTTTCGACCAGACCCTAGAGGGAGTGAGCTTGCCGAGCGGTCTTCAGACTTTGACATTTGGCCATAGTTTCAACCAGACCCTAGAGGGAGTGAGATTGCCGAGCGGTCTTCAGACTTTGGAATTTGGCCATGAATTCCACAAGACACTAGAGGGGGTGAGCTTGCCGAGCGGTCTTCAGACTTTGACATTTGGCTATAGTTTCAACCAGACCCTAGAGGGAGT